AGATCTACCCAGGACTAATGTGCTATTGAACAACATTACTAATGGAGTTTAAGATCTTTCCATGTCTACAGCTTTAAGGCTGCCTCAGAGCAAAACAACTTACATGTCTATACACATTTTAATCCCATTTTACCAGAGAGAAGGCTACCATTAGAATTCCACCCTTTTCCTGAAAAGTTGTTTCTTTCTTTTTTGTATAACAACGGTTCTGTGCACTAGAGAGTTAATTATCTAACCAGGGGGACTGTCCAGGACAGTGTTTGATTTAAAAGGCTCCAGGCTTTAGGTGCTCAATTAAGTAGCTATCGGTCTCAGACTGGACTATAATGGGCTCTTTTCTCTTTAACTCAAGCAACGGGGAGATATACCCCAGGTCAGGCTAATTAAAGCCAGGGGAGTCTTTAATTGTGATGACAGAATCGGTTTCAGTTTCCTTTCTTTGGGTCCTCAGTCCAAGAAGGTCGTTAATATTTCAGCATTTGGGCAATGCAATCAATCACAAACATCAAGAGGTTCCTTATATGGGAAAAAGGGAAAAGAAGGGAAGAAATCCCACCAAACCTCTGCACTTTCAAGGTGCTTTGCTCCTCTGTGAAGAGCACAATGTAGTGTTAGTACTGCTTGCCGGCTCAGCTTCACCTCTCCTTGCTGACATAAAGAGAAGGCGAGCAAGTCGTATTTTCAGTTTAGTAATAATGCTTAGCATCTTTCTGTAACTTCAATGACCAATAGGTGGGCTTATTTTTCTACTGCATTATTACTTCAAGCAAAATTCTGGCAATATGGAGCACTACCTGGCTGTGGTTTCTAAACTGCTTTCAGGCAAGGAGAGGTGTGTTTCTAAGAGTGAATGTGACTGAAAGGTATACATTTGTACCTGCAAGTAAATATCAGCAACCTATCTGAGGAGAAAAATGCACATCCACAGCTACTAATCCAGAAGCAATTGGTTTTCCAGCAGGTTCCTATATTTAATCTAAATTCTGCACCAGCTATATTAAATGTAACAAAGAAATGCAACCCAGAAATTATGCCTGGAGCCAAGTCCATTAAAGGTACTTTGGAATAACTAGAGACCAAGCACCTTAAAAGCACCAGAAGCTATTGATACTTAAGGGGGGGGGGGGGGTTGTGAATAATCACAACTGCTGCATTAGAGAGGGGAGGGAGAGAGGAAAAAAAAAAAAAATCAGCCAAATTACGCTTGGTTAATTCAGAGTAACAGATCTGCCCCCAAGTGAATTGGAGGCCTTGAATTAATTCTGTTATGACAAATCAAGATAAACGTTCCCCCTAAATTGCATGCGATTTAATTAATTTTTGAGATCCTGGGTTTTTTTTCTCCTAGCTAATAGTTCACATGCTCCTGTGCTGTCATTGTGCTTGAGTGGGCAGACTTCAAAGTGATATTAAATAACCAACTATTAGATTTACCTAGCACGTCCTATTGGAAAAGTGCCATTTAATTACCTAGCCTGTTCAATTAAAGGGACAGCATTCTCTGAATATAGCAGCTTGCTGTTGATTACCAGGGAAATGAACTCGCTGTCTGGCGGGCGCCTCCGTTCCTAACGCTACCCCCTCCCCAAACACACCCTCCACCACCAACCACCACCGACGACGCCCCTCCCGGGGCCCAGGGGCCGCGCACACTGCGGCTGCTGCGGAGCCACGTGAACCGCCCGCCGAGAGGCGCGGGGAAAGAAAGCGCGACTCCGGCCCGGCTCCCGCCCTGCGCTCGCCCCCTCGCGGGCCGAAGGCGCTGGCCGGCTGGGCGCCTCGACTGAGGCCTCGCGCGGAGCGGCCGGCCCGGCCCCAGCTGCAAAGGCTCGCCCGGGACCACCACTGGTGCTTCTGGGGCACTTCTTCGCCCTCCCAGGCCCTGGAGCCCCACCAGTCATCACTGAACTTCCTCCTCTTGCTGCACTTTGAGAGCCACTTCGGGCCCTGAGTGGGGGTGGAGGAAGAGGGTTTGAAGAAAAAGAAAACGAGTTTCTAAGCTACTTGGCGGCGCTTGGATTGAGCTGGGGAGGAAAGGGACAGTTCCAATCTTCGCTGACTTTTGTAAGATTGGGGGGGGGACAGGCATTGGCCCCTTTAAGATCTACCCTCCCCTCCTCTCCACCCCCACCTCTGCCTTTCCCTCCCTCTCTTAGAGGCCAATTTTGTTAATTAAATGTTTTGTTTGCGATGCAGCTCTCATTCATTGCGGACACGTCATTCAGAGCAGATCTAAGCCAGAGACCAGATCTCATTAGATAAAGCCCATCAGAACTAAGAAAATGGAGGAGCCACTAATTAAAGCTTTTAATTGTGCGGATTCACTGCAGCAAGGCAGCCGCTTTATCTGAAATCTTGGAGGGAGAGGAGGCAGAAGCCCAGCTCTGCCCAATGGACACTTGGTTGCCCAAGGGAGAGGGGACTAGAGAAAAGTGGTGCCCCCACTACCATCACCCCCCACCCCCAACACACACAAACACCTCCCAGCTCTCCCCTAGCGTTTTAGCCAAGTCTTGGTTGTTTTAAAACACACACACACACACACACACACACGCACCCCTCAAAATCAGACAGTTTAAAGGCCCTTAATAAAATCGCTCTGTGGTCCCAGCCAGGGTTCAGAGCCTAAAGGTCAGTCCCCTTCACCTGGTAGGGGAGAGCAGATTACTCAGTTCCTCTGTGCCCTCCAGGAAGACTGGAAAGCTCTTCCAACAAGTGTCCTGCAGGGAGACTGGGAAGGCAGGGTACCTAAGAGGAAAAGGAACATGCAGGCCTCCCCACCTTTCTACCCTTGGGGCATCTTGATGGGCACAGGGAGGAAACACTGAAGAAAGGTTTCAGATTCCTTAAATTGGAGGCCTGGGGGGGGGGGGGGGGTCAGCTGCTGATGAGCCCTAAGCAGAGTTTGAGACAATCAATTTGGTACTGAGCTAGAACTCATCCCTCCGGGACAGATCCAAGATTCTCAAGACAGTATCTAGTTCAAGAGCAAGCATGACTCCAGTTTTCAAATTCAGAGGAAAAGAGAAAGGAAGGAGAATAAGGATCCAATTAATTAAGGCTCCCCCGGCACACACATCTACTGCTCCATTAAGCCCCAAGAAAAACCAAATGGGCATTTATATTTGGCCTCAACTATAGGGAAAGGAATGGAGAGTCCCAGGAATCCACTTGCCTAAACTTGTCCTGAGGGAAGGCAAGTGGACCCATCTTCTTTTTAATTAGTGGTAATCAGAAGCAAAGGTTTTTTAAAGGCACTTAGAGAAGAGATGAATCTGTACCATTCACCGTGTCTGAACAGCACTGTCAATTTTTCCACTTCAAACCACCGTCCTTTCTTACCACAACAGTTTTGCTCTCTATTTAATTACAATACTGTCAAAGCTCATGGCACTGCTTGGAAGGAGGACCAGAAAGCATTACACTCCTGCTCCTGCTGGTTTTCCAACATTTACTTCTAAAAGATCACTTAGTGAAATTAATGCTGCCATCTTAATTTAAAAGTGAAAGCCCTCTCCCTTCCTATATTTCTTTTACTTGGCTGGTTGAGGCTGCCACCAGAGTGGACATAGGTTGCTTTATTGGAATAACCAAATGTCATTTTCCTCCATCATTTTACACTAATGATATCACTGGGGTAAACACACACACATACTCAGTGCTGAACCACAGTGGGATCCTTTTCAGTTTTAGATACAGAGTGGGGAAAATCACAATGGAGCTAAACTTTGAACAAAATATCTGATTCAATGCCATTAAAAAATAACAAAATTTTCTACTAATCACTATAAAGAAAACTATTTTGAGCAGAAATTTAAATAGATGCAATTCTTAAGTGAGCGGTTCTTGAGCACTTCTCTAGTATCAACGGTGTGCGTGTGGGTTTTTTTTTTTTTTTAATTACTGGATGTTGAAACAGAACACCTCCTAGAAGCATTCATGTGCATCAGTCTATCAAACCATTTACTCAAATTAAATGTGTAATCCTTCAAATGCCTCCTTTCAAATTAATGAGTTTAAGTAGCTTGAGTTCACCTGAAAAGATCCTATAGGCACCTGACCTCCTGAATTCTTTCCATTAATTGAACTGAAACTTGTTGGAAAAGACTGCTTACACTGGCATATGAATGTTCCTATACATTGCTTTAAAACGCAAGATTGGTATATTCTATAGTCTCTTTTCCTAAATCTCTTTTGTGAACTAAGGGTAATAATACAAACGACAACAATAAACCCCAAATCTGAATATTCCTCAATAGATTAAAAACTGCAGATTCTACATCACAAACCACACACCAACACTAATCAGCACAAGCCTCCAAGTAACAGTATATAAAGAAAAACATCACCATTAAGTTTTTTGGGTTTTCTTGTTTCTGTAAGAACCACAAGTCTTTAAAATGATGGGTAATCAGCATTTTTCACAAGGAGACACAACACAAAGAGAGTCACAGTTTTACATTCAAAAAAGTTTAAAGGTGCTTATGTCAATATCATAATTAGCCATCACAATAGGTAAATCATTTCTCACTAACTACACTTTTGAATCAATCTTTTGTCTCTATTCTACCTAGGTCCCTACCTTGCTTTAAGAAAGCAGCTTAATTCTCACTTGAAATGTTTATTTTTAGCAGAGGGTCTATTTGGGGCTGACCACTTAAAACTGTGGTCCCCAGAGTGCCCAACCCTTGCACACTTACAAGCCCCAGTCCCACCAGATGGGCAATTTTTATTCAGTTCAGCATTTGCCACTAATTTGTCATTAAAAATTAGAAGATTAATACATGCTTCTTGAACCTCTTAAATTGAGCCAACCATACGGTTTTTGAGGTGAAGACGACAATGTATTCTCATAGGAGCCCTGCTCCTTTCCTTAAAACCCTTGGTAACCTTTGGCCTTGCCACTGCTCTGCTTGCCCATCTTGGGAAGGGCAGCCAAGTCTTACCTAATGTAGTCATTTCTGCAAAGGATCATGCCGCTCTTGGTGTAACAGGACGTGCCGATGTCACCCAGCTGAGCCTGGCAGCAGGAGCACTTGAGGCACCGGCTGTGCCAGTAGCTGTCCATGGCATAGAGCAGAAAGCGGTCCGCAATCTTGCCCCCGCAGCCTGCGCACCGCTTCCAGGAGAGGGAGCCGGCCGTCACCGGGGGCGGCTGTGAGCTGCTGCCCGGATTCACCATGGTCTGCAGAGGGCGGGAAGGGGAAAGGGAGAGAAAGACAAAAAACATGGGCGATGCAAAAGTTAGTAAGCTCCGCCGCGTGAGCTAGCGAACAGTTCCCCCCAGACCTGCTGGAAGGAAGCAGCAGGGCAAGGGCGGGAAGGGGGGAGAGGGGGAGAGGGAAGGAGGGAGGCTCGCCGGCAGCAGCCGCCTGTTTACTTTTCTCAAGCTTTGTTCTGAGGCCACGAGCTCCTCTCAACTTTCCAGTGCTCACTGCCGCTGACAATTTCAGCTTGGGTACTGTCAAAACTCCGAGAGCGAGGCTCGGCTGCTCGCTCCACCCCTCGCAGCGCCTCCTCCCGGCCCGCGCCTCCGCCCTCTCCTCGTCTCCCCTCCCCTCCCCTCCTAGGCAGCCCGCCTCCAGCAAATGAGGGTCAAACCCACCCACCGCCGCGCCCGGCCCCTCCCCAGCTCCGGCCGAGCCCCGAGAGCGAGCCGAGAGGAGTGGGGAGGCGACCTGTGCTGGAGCCACGTTCCCTCCCGAGCTCTGCCCTGGGAAGTGCAGCTGCAATTCACTAGTTAGAAATAGTTCGGTTTTCTGAAAAGGAAGGAGGGAGGAACCGGCAGAGGGGAGATGGAGAGCGTGGTGGTGGGAGGGGAGGCGTAGGGACCCGGGGTGGGGAGAGTGGGGGGGCGGGGTGGTGTGTAAAGTTGCGAAACTGGTTTTTCGTATTTTAAACAGCACCTTTCACATGCCATTGTGGTGACCGCCATCTCCCATTATTGTTCCAAATCTCATTTCATTTTGAAGATCAATGAGTGTTTTCTCTGGGTTTTCAGGACACAGGCAAGTATAATAGATCATTGAACTTTAGGATGCCTGTTAACTTCCTATACAAACACTCTCCACTTTGGTCTCACTAATCTGCCCTTGATCAGCAATTTAAATGCTAAAGCTTTGTTCCTCCAAGGGGGAGGAGGGGTTACAGATAATATGCGAGAAGGCACTATTAAAGGATGCACAAGTTAAATTTGAGCCAGTCCTGCTGTCACCAAAACTGCTTTTAAAAATTACCCCCTCTTTCTAATGAATGTCATGAGAGAAGCAACTAGGGTATAATATAGGAATCAATTTATAAAGCTTAGCCTAAACCGATTAATTTGTTGCCTCCAATCCGGAGTCCAATAAAGTCCTAGTGTTCCTCCAGTCACTTATTCTATAAAAAGATCAAGTTATTTACTGCCAATTAAGCAGCCTGTTTTGTCTTTGTCCTCTGTAAGCCGAGAGTGTGGGCTCCCCCCGAGGCTCCCAGCTATCTGCTCAAGACATTCAGCTGATACCTCAGCAGGGAGAGGGCAAACTTTGCCTGTCCCCTGCCCAACTTGGCTGCTGCAAAAAAACGAGGGAAAAGGAACGAAACAAGGACTCGGGTTCCTTAAATAGGCCGATTTTAAACACATTTCCTCCGAAAGAGTCCCGGAACGTGTGTCCAGAGACCGCACAATAAACCAGAATAAGAACTGCACCAATTAAGCTGTAACAAAACCCTGAGACTTTGGAAACAAGACCACTCTAAAACCCATTAGCATTGCATTTATCCGAATGCATCATACCTTTATGTAAATTGATTTATCTGATGCATTTACTCGAGGAATTGCTTTTTGTTACAATTTCAGCCCTAACCCAAATGAATCTGCATTTCCTGCCCTAGGTCTTTAAACTGTTTCCCCCAACGTTTTAATCGCTCCGAATTCCTTTTAAAAAGGGGAGAGGGAGGGAGGAGATTCCAAGCTCTTCCCCGCCCCCATCTTTGGTGAGAGGTAAATATATATGTATATTTTTTTTGAAAAGGAAACATTACACTGAGAAAAGCATCCAGTAACCCCATTAGCTAAAGCTCTTAAGGACAAGCAATACCTTAATGCTGATTAAATCTAAAAGAGATGAATCAAGAGGACTGACCAGAAACTGACTCCCCTGATAACTAAGGACGGGCCCTCATCAAGTTTCATTTAGAGTTGGAAAAAAAAAAAAAAAAGAAAGCTTTTAAGTTAAATAGGCTTATACTCTAGTAATTACATAGCCAAGCAATTTAGGTCCTGGGATAGTCAGTGAAATAGAAAGCAGAACTGGCAGCTAGAGGCAAAATCTGCCCCCCTTTAACAACGTCTCTGGTGTTTTTTAATGGAGACCAAGGGAGGGACAAACGTAGCGCTGGCAATTTGTACTACAAAAATGGATGCTTAATTCATGTCTTGATTTTAATTAGGTGATTCACCGGATTCCTCCTGGATTGGAACAAAAGACTTACAAACCAAGAGGAATTTTTTTTAAAAGACCCAGCAATACCGAATCCTGTTCACTTAGATCCTTTCTGCCACTGTTTCAAAAATAATGTTTACTGGAGGGGGGGGATCGTGACTATTTCCCCCACACTACTTCTCATACTTAAACCCTCCTTTCAGCACCCGCTGCCTTTCCCTTAGGAACTGAAAATCTCCCCACCCCCCTCCAAGGTCCTCACCAGCCCCGTCTCCAAGAACCCTTTTGTAAGCAGGAACCGCTACAAAGCTGGCGGCCCGGGGCTGCCCTCCGTGCTAGCTCGCAGGCCGGCCTCGGTAGTTTCAGACCCGCGTATTATCCAAGCCAACGTATTGTTTACTTGCAATCTGGGACGGTCAAGGGAAGGAAGCCCAAGAACACAGCCCCGGCCCCCATCGGTCCCCTCCTCCCGCCCCCCGCCCGCGGCTCCCCTTACCTGCTTTTCCCCTATATTGCAATATTGCGAGAGGCGGCGGCGGCGAAATGCGAGCGAAGCCGCTCGGCTTCCAAGGAAGGGGCGCCTTGGCTGGAGGGAGGGGGAGTTCTTGCAGAACCAGGAAAGGGGAGGAGGGGGCTACGGGCTTTTTTTTTTTTTTAACGCGTGGCTCTGAAGCTGGGTTGGGGGGGGCGCCGCGTAAGTGGCAGGCGGCCGGGAGCAGAAGTGTCAGTCTCAGTCCTCGTCCTCCGCCTCCAGCTCCGAGCGAGCAGCGGCAGGAGCCCTCGGCCCGCGCGGCACGGCTTCAGGCGCGGCGCAGCGGCAGCAACTGCTGCAATCGCTGCTGCAAGTTTGGCAATGTGGCTTCACTTTGTAGATTCCCCCGCCCGGCGGCCCCGGCCCCCGCCCCCGCCCGCGCTCCTCCCGCTCCTCCTCCTCCTCCACCGCCTTCCTCCCTCCCGCGCGCTCGCTCGCTCGCTCCGGGCTGGCGGCGGCGGCGGCGGCGGTGGCCGCACGGCCGAGCTTCCTGCACCTCCGGCCAGGGAGCAGCTGCAGAAACAACAGCTCCGGGAGCGGCGGCGCCGGGCGCGGAGGCCGGGAGGCAGGCGTGTCGGGTAGGCGGGGAGCTGCGGGCGGCCGAGGCCCGGCGCGCGGGAGCCTGCGCCGCTGCCCGGGCTGCTGCCGGGGTGGCTGCTGCCCGGCTCGGAGGCGGCGGCGGCGGCGCTGGCCTCTAGCCGGCTCACGGCTCACTCGCTCCCTCCGCGGCTCTTACACATGTGTTACTGACAGAGCAAAATCCCAACTACTCCCCGGCTCTGCCGCCGACGTCAGCGACCCTCAGCCACTGGGCGGCCGGATTGTTCAGGCGGAATAATAAAACCTGCCAATCCGGGGAAGGACAAAGGGATGCCTGAAACGAGACTCTGGGGGCGGGGGAGAGCGCGAGGCGGCGGAACGGGCCGAGGGAGGAGAAGGAAAGGGGCCGAATCAAGTGGGGACAAGTGACCGGGACGCCTGGGACCCTGCCGGGGCTGCCCCGCGCTGCCCGGGATCGCGAGCGGAGGCGCGGGGTGCCGCACCTGCCTTCCGAGCGCGCGGGAAACCCTGGGGACCCACCCCCGCGCGCCTCTTGGGGACTGACCTCCCCTCCAGAGGCGGCGAGACCCAGAGGAAACTTACTTCGCCTCTTTCTCGGCAATGGGTCTTTTCCTGTTTGGGAAGAAAAGTCGTGCCGGTATCTTAGCGCGGTGGACTTCACACATGCCTGAGAGGTGGGGTTGGGGGATGGGGTCTTCTTTTTTTTTTTTTTATTCACGGTGTTGGAGATTTGTGAGCCTTGGTGGAAGTTTAGTTAACAAGGGAAAAACAGGAAAACAGAAGAAAAAAAGGAAACCAATAGATCCTAAATACTGCTTGCTTAGCCCCCGTTCTCATTAACCCGAGTATAAACCAAATGCCTACTAGGCACTTCATATTTGCCAGTTGTTGGTGATAAAAAAAATCACAATCCTCATATTCGAAGTTGAGGGAGAAAGCCTTGCTCTTCCATCCACCCCGCCGCGGAGGATGAGAGGCCGAATTCCTCAGAGCCCTCAAAAGCAATGAAAGTAATTGCAAAATTCGCAATCTCACAGCCGCTGGAGAGTAAGAAAGGTCACTTCCAGTATAAATCAAGTTTTGAGGAATGCTTTTAGGGTGCTAGCCGGAAAGTCTCTTTCCAGGGCCAAAGCTCAGCCTAGCTGCTTGAATACCTAGTCATTCAACTTTATCTTCTCTGCCAAATAGATTTAATAAATCTCTGATCTGAGGCTAATATTAGGTCTGATTATTATTATTAAGTTCCAGAGAGATTTTTCTGGTGGAAATTATCATGAAAGTGCAAAGCCCTTCTGCTAAGTATCATTAAGTAAAACCAGCCTTGTGGGACAAGTTTTCATATTGTATTACACTCAGCACTGCTAGATTGAAGAAAGGGACCTGCAGGAGAAAGCGGCTAGACAATGCAGATGTTAAACATCTATGGGTTTCGTGTCAGTGTGGAGATTTCTGTCTTTCAAACCTAAGACTGCAAAAGAAACAATAATCATTGCTTATAAAATAGAGCAGAGAACATTTTAAATACCAAGTTGGATACTCATTTCTTTATACTCTAGCACCTCAAAATGAAATGACTTACTTTTATTGATTGGTATTTGAACTTGCATTTTATGATCAAGCGCATGTATGAAAAACATTTTTTTAAAAAATCATTAAAATTACAATAGTAATTAAAGTGACCTGTACAGAAAACAGCTGCAGATGGCTGTGATTAAAGAAGGCCAACTTAAAAAGGTGTAATATTCCTTGAAGGTTAGTAAGGAAGACTAAGTTAAACCAAATGAGGAAAGGAACCCCATAAACAAATGCACACATTTTAATTCCCTGGTTCAGTTTCAATTTGTTAATAATTTATAATAGTCAAAAGGAAATGTTACAAGCTCTTAGTGGGTTACAGTTAAGTTATGATTTGTCATGTACAAGTAAATTTCCTTCTCCGGGCCTTAATTTTATCATCTACAAGTGAGGGAATTAAGCAAAATGGTCTTTTTTCCCTTTTTTAAGAATGATTTTCTTAAATAGAATACGTAACATTGTTCTGTAATGGTGTGGTACTTTAGGTATTTCCTGAAGTATTTATGCTAAAATAAAATCTAATTTAAAAGGAAATGTTGGAAATTTAAGCAGGCACATGTTCCGATATCACTGAGTGATTCCCCAAAGAATCCACATAGTTTCTGTGGAAGGAAAGGAGAGAAGGATGGATAAA